CTATTGAATGGTCGGCTTTTTCTGCCTTTTTTTTTTTTTTTTTGAAACGCCACTGTTGATTTTTCTGTCCACGATTGAAATGGCCTCATTTGTTTCAGTGTTGGAGGCCTTTTTTGAGATATAGATAGATAGATAGATATGTGCATATATAAGGTTTTTTCCAGGAGGACTTTTCCTCCTGTAGATGTATAAGAAATTATGCATCAGACAAAAGCCTCATAAACTGACCATTTGTCCTTTGGACACAATAGCCTGCCCAGCCCCTCTGCTCCTCCTCTCCAATTATGTGTGATTAGTCTCAGTGTGTTGTGTCAAGAAGGGGGAGTGTGCTGAGTGCTTATTATCTGTTTAGGTACAAGAAGAGCACATTTAGGTTCTGACTATGAATGGAAAGTGAGCCTTTATCAGGACTAAAATCTAAATGCTACTATCCTAGAAATCGCTTCTAAAAAAACCCACATCCTTTCTGATAAATCCTGAGAAGCACTATAAGGACTGAAGGATTTTGTAGCATAATCAAACTGTCTCCCTTGAATTAGTTTGTATTGTGATATATTGTGGCCCAAGTACTTGATAAACATTTAATGTGACTTTTCTTGTACTGGGAAAGACAAAAATCCTACAAAGAAACAGGAGCAATTTCTTATTTTCCTAACAGTTTAATAGACCGTTTTAATGACTTCTCAGAAAAACAACATGGATCACTAAAAGATCCTGTACAGTCTCTTAAACCACACCGCTTTTTAAATGCTGGAAAAAGAGAGGCAGAGAGCATGACCGAGAGAGGGAGGTGCTAGATGCAAGGAAGCGTAGAGGATCATGCCGAAATACATTAATTAAAGAACCGCAGTTCGGCAATAAGCATTCTTCCATATTTAACAAATTGGGCAGCGTGTAAACCACAAGCTCCTGAAAGTCCCTTTCTCTTCGCTCTTCTTCTCAAACAAATTTCTTCACTACCGGTTTGCATGTCCTTGTATTCAATACTTTTTATGCTCCATTAGAGCACCTAGATGGATCTCGGAAGGCATAGGTCAAGTCGCAGTTAGATCATACATTTCTTTCTCACAAAAACTTGAATTGCAATGCCAAGTGATGGGCTAACATCACAATAACAGCAATTTATTCCTCTTTTGATAAAAAGCAGCCTGTTCTCAGTGTTAGATAAAGACCAGGGGCAATGCAAACCAACCATTTATCCTAGAACTGAGTTGTATGTCTCCCCTATAGCTGGTATGAGATTCATATTCAAACTCTTGTTGGAAGATACTTGTCTAGTAAGAAATCAAAAGCATTTAGGAGTTATTTAAAATTGCTGTGAAGGTGGCTTTAGTTTAATGAGTTTTGTTTTGTTTGTCCCACACAGCAGTGCCTTTGTTTTCTCTGAAAACCATGTACAAGGAAACGTTTGTAATCAACAAAGGAGTGTGAAAAATAGTCAAATATTAAAATTTGTGAATGTTTTATTTTTGAGAGGCCTTGAATGTCTGCTGTACGATAATCTAATAAAGATTGTTAGTTGCCAAAAATAGAACCAGTGTCGCTGAAAATTGTGTTTTTAGCTCTAAGAAGAAAACAGTTTTACTCAAATTAGTAGCTGATAATTGCTTTTTATTTCTTTAGTCTCTGTCGTTTTGAGTTGAAGGCTTTGCACAGGTGCTGCCATCCCTAAAGTGTGTAATTGATGGCTTGTTTACCAGAGATGCATTTAGGCTTCATCCTGCAAACCCACATTGGAGCTCCACAGGCAGTAAAGTTACTCATCTACATAAGTGCTTGCAGGTTTGGTCCATGTAGATATTTTGAGAGGTATGTAAGCAAGCTCTCCTCTTGATAGTTTTTTTTGTTTTAAAACGGATATTGAAAAGTCACAGATATAGGATTTACTGTCTATGAGGCGCTAAAAGTGTTCTTTTTTAGAGACATCTCTCAGAGTCCCTCATGTTAGTAGGGACTTGATGAACTGTTTCTGAGCTCTGAAATTTTAATAAAAATACAGTGTTTATTAATACATCAGATATCTTTGGTAAGAAAAAGTTAGGCAGTTATCAAATCATGCTTATAAAATGTATCAGAGCCTTTCATGTGATGTGATTTAACTAGTTTCTGACACTCAGTGTATTTTTATTGATATAGTTTACAGTGTTCTGTAACAGAATAGCGCGCTTAATTACTTTGTGTTTGCAAAACACTTTGAAGATGAATGACACCGTGCAAGAGCTATGCTCTCTTCACTGAGAATGGAAGCATTAGGCCGATGCAAGTTCTCCTTCATGTACGTTGGTAGTTTTTAGAGCAACGTCGTGTCTTCCTCCTTTCTCAGAGAAAAATGGCAGAGAGAAATGATCTTCCTGTGGACATCCATTCCCCTGGGCGCAGCCCTAGTGCAGCTGGCACCACTGGCAGTGAGTTGTGATCTTCAGAATAGAAAAGGCCAAGAAAAAAAAAAATCCATTTCCTGCTGTGAGAGCAAAGGCTTTCTTAAAAATTACAAACCGGTCCTATCTGATAGCATTCTGGAACAGCGGGACAAATCTTTCCATTTGGGAAATAAGTTTGATTTGAAATTAAAAATGTCTTAAAAATGCGAGATGAGGCAGGAGAACTTACTACCCCAGGTACCAGTCCAGCTGCAAAATCCCTATTAGACAGGTCATTCACGTTTTGCCTGTGGCTTAATGGCTCCATGTTTGCATGAGGAGGAAAGTGGGATTAAAATTGTTCCCCCCATGAAAAGCATCCTTACATCTCGAGCCTGGCTGCATACGGTTTATCAGGCGTTATATCTCCATTACAACTCTCCTTCGCTGTTCCCTGAACAAAAGAGGATGCAGTGGGTGGAGCTTTTGATCCACCTCTTGATATGGCAGGTGGCACCGCTGATACGGCAGGGGAAGAGGGAAAAGGCAGCCCCACATTGCGAGTCAAGCAGAGCAGCATTCTGTTACCGTCTTTCACCCGCCCTCCCTAACGCCGGAGGGGAAGTAACCAGGTCCCTGTCTTTTCACAGGGCAAATTATGAATGCATAGTTTAGCCCGGATTTCTTTACGCGTGCTTTTCTTCTTCTTTAAATCAGGGAATGAAGGGTGATGTCAAACTGCGAATTCCTTTAACTCTCAGGAAATGTTTTGAGACGCTGGTGGAAGGTGCCAGGACAGCGTGCACCGGCGCTTGTGTCTAAAACGTTTCCCGCGCAGCGTGGTCATCCCGTGCTGTTTCCTGAGAAAGGGACAATTTTGTTGCTTTCTATCTTTTTATTCACTTTTTAGATTCTCCTGAGTCTGGTTAAGACGGTTTGTCATGCCTTCGCTGTCACGAATCAGTAGCCTAACACTGGTTGTAAGCACACCAGCATCTTTGGAAAGACGGTTTTAAAAGCTGATTTTCAATATTATTCTCATCTGCACGGCAGCAGCACTTACTTAACCCAGCCAAAATGAGGGCAGCCTGATGGGAAACCCCGTAAAGCTAAAAGAAAGCTGATACACGACTTAGTGAATTTGCAGCTGAATGTTTGACTAAAGGGGGGGAACCTCCTCAAACCATGCCCATTCCCCCATACGAGGGAACCTGAGGCACAGGCGGTATTGCTGTCTCATTTGCCTATAGCCATTCAGAAAGCAGCCGGTACACCCTGGAACTGACCCCAGATTTTGTGGGACTAAGTGCAGCATCTCCTCTGCAGGATCCGTCTCCCTCTCCGACCTGTGGGCTCTGTTCAAACAGCTGAATGTAACAAACCTAACTTTTCTTTCCCATTTTTAAGGGGTTTTTAGCCTATTAAGGCTCCTTGCTTAGTCAGCAGCTGGCTTGCTGCCAAAAAGCCCAGCGTATTGTTGGGGCTGGGTAAAAGCTGGATATTTTCCATCTCTGCCCAACAGCCGCATTGGATCTTCATTGTCTTCTCGTGTGTAAAGTGTGTGGAAAGTAGAGGGAAGATGCACGGAGCGGTAGTCCAGATGGCATTCCACAGCCTGAGAAGAAACATCTTGACCCTCGAATCTGGGTTAAACTCAACAGATGCCAAGCCCCCAAAAACAAAGAGCTGTCGTGGCTGACGACAGCGCAGGAGCGATAGGCCTTCGGTAACAGAAAGTATCTTTTATTTCGGATGCGTTTCCCTGCAGATAACCACCACAGTGTCACTTGTAGAAGACTGCTTATTAAAAACAAGCAAAAAAATAATGGTTCTCCGCGTTAGGCACCGCCCCCCTTCAGTCGTGAGGTGTTGCCCCTGGGTGATGGGTTAGGCTAGCAGAAAAGGATTTGAACGTTCAGCCTGTGTTGTGCCCTGCCAGAGCCTGCATGCTAAAAGACCTGCTATTTTTTCCTGACTCTGACTTCAATTAATGTACTTTTAAAATGATTAAACATATCATGCTGTGACTTCTAAAATGTCAACAAGCTTCTAAACTTGGGAGACAGGAATGTAATAAAATAGGTAATAGGAGATTCAATAGTTAATAGAGGCCCTGAAGTGTGAGTGTATACAGTAGCTGTATATTGGAAACTGTGCAAATG